TGGTTAAGATTTTGTTCTTCGGTTTTCCAGTTTTAATTTAGTCGTTATTTCACCGAGTTTAAAATAAGCAGCCTAATATTGGGATGCTGTCCGGATGTCTCGAAAATGGGAATAAAAAAATTAAAGGTTCGAAATTACACACCCTGTAATTGGGTGCAATCAGAGTACACTAAAAATTGCAGATGTTTTTTCCAATATATGCGGTTTTTCATGAGCTGTCAAAAAATTTCGAAGCACCGAAGGTGCGTTAAACGCTAGTTTTACTTGAGTCCATCCCTGAATATTTGCGCAAAATGTTTGAAATTAGTTTTCAAAAAAACTTGGAAATTGATATACTAAATGACACTTTTGGCGATTAACAAATCTATTATACATTTGAATGCTGGGTTCACTATCTCGCCAGGTTTAAGCTTTTTCAACGTATTATTTTTGCACGTTTAAGTTATATCGTATATTGCAATGGTTAAGATTTTGTTCTTCGGTTTTCCAGTTTTAATTTAGTCGTTATTTCACCGAGTTTAAAATAAGCAGCCTAATATTGGGATGCTGTCCGGATTCACTTTGCTTTTTAGTTAGTTTTTGCTTTTAGTTTCCGAGATGTGACGTTTTTTGATTTTTGCAATACAAAAATTTTGTATTGAAAAATTTTGGTATGAATTTTGCAACCATGCAAACTTAAGCCACAAATATGAAAAAAAAAAGAATTAAAAAAGTTTTTCCATTCTTTTCTTGAAAATCTTGCGACAAGGAAGGCTAGTGCAATCGGTTACCAGAGTTTTGTTTCCGTAAATATTTTTCTTTTCGCAGGACTTTTCATTGGGATTCTTTTCTTGGACGCTTTTGAGGACAATAGTTTTACCGCTACAGATATATTTTGTGCTTATTAGCATTTCAAACAAATATATGTCCTATTAAAATTATCTTTCTCTGTTGGTTGTATTTTCCTAGTTCGATTTGTTGAAATGTTTTTTTTTTTTCGTTTTTTTTTCTCTTTTTTTCCGGCCTGATATGTTTAAGCCTATATTATATCGGCTGATTGCCCTTATTTTGCTTTATATCGCTTGACGAGCAAAAAGTTTTTATTTCGGCTTTTTTCTTAATTTTTTTTCGGCTGAATAGGTTTTGGCCTGTATTATATTGGCTTTTTGGCCTCCTATTGCGCTGTCGACGAGCTGTGTGTTTGTTTTTAAGGTAAGATGGACTTTTTTTTATTGGTCTTGAGTTTTTTTGAATTTTTTTTTTGGCTTTTTGTGTTTTTTTCTCTTTTTTCGACTTGATACGTTTCGGCCTTTTTTATATCGAAATAGTGGCAGCGTATTGTTTCTTTTGACGTGCGAATAAAATTTGTTTGCTTAAGAGTGACGGGGACTTGATTTTTTTTTTGAATTTTTTTTCGCCTAAAGGGTTTCTGTTAAGGGATTTTCGGCTTTGTTGCCGCTTGCTAATTTTTTTTTCGATGCTTCTTTTACATTTTATTGTCTGGGCACGTTTTTTTTCATAGCTAGCTGCATTCTTTTCGAAAGAATTAGTTTTTGACATTTTCAAATTTTTTAGTTTTTTTTTTCGACTTAGCGGCCTTCTTGTTTTGTATTGCAAGTTGTGCGAAGCTCAGCTCGCCGCTGTGTTAAAATTACTGTAATCGGAACCTTATGTGCTACTTGCTCAGGAACAGGTAGTTCATGTTAGTTATTTTGAAATGGTTTTTCATTGTTGTTTAACGCATTTAGCCTTGATTGCTTATAACTTTTGAAATTTTTGCTGGTCTTATATCCTTTGCTTTGCAAAAGAAAATACAATGTTCGATGTATACAAAAATACAATGTTCGATGACCAACCCTGTAATTGGGTGCATATTTGTTTCCAATATATGCAGTTTTTCATGAGCTGTCCGGAGGTGCGTTAAGCGCTAGTAATATTTGAAAAACTTTTCAACATTCATCAATGTATATCTAACTGGACACTCCGAGAGCAAAAAACTGTTCTCGAAGTTATTGTTGAATTATTTCAAATTATTTTTTATTTCATAACCAATTCAACATTTTTTTCTTAATTTTTCTTTTTTTTTTGGCCAAATTGACACGCGACTATTGTAATTGAGGCGAAGAGAGACTGAACTCTCAGCTTAATTCTACTACAATTTATAATAATTTTAGCTTTTACACTGTTTGTTTTTGCTGTAACTTTCCAAATGACATAATTCCTAAATGTTATAAAAACAAACCTATTATATATTTAAATGCGGGCTTCACTATCTCGCCATGTTTAAGCTTTTTCAACGTATTATTTTTGCATGTTTAACTGAAGAATTTTTTCACGTTCAAGCTATATCGTATATTGCAATGGTTACGTTTTTTTTTCAATTTTCCAGTTTAAATTCAGTGTTTATTTCAAGTTTGTAATTAGCCAACCAGTAGTAGGATATTGTCAGAGTTTTCCCAGGTTTTGCGATCTTGATTCCATATATAAATAACCAAATCCTTTTACTTTACAAGATAGGGAATTTTCGAGATTTTTCAAAAATTTCAAGAAAATTTATTTTAGAGAAATTTCTTCTTTTTTTGAAATTCTCACTCTGTAGTTGGGTGCTGTCAGGGTACTCTCAGGGGCTGCAAATCTTGCCTCCAATTTTCATTTCTCAAATCCTTGTAGTTTTCGAGAAATGACGTTTTTTATGACTTTTTCTAAAATTTTTCAGAGAGCTCAAATTACAAAATAATTCGTTAGAGTGAAATTCTCAACCCTGTAGTTGTGTACTTTCAAAAATTGCCAATATTATCATCAAAAAAGATTGCTCAATTTTTGGGTAGTTATCGAGATGTGATACTTTTTTAAAAAAAACTTAAGGTGAAGTTTCTCAAAATTTGAATTTCCCAACTTGTAAAGATTTCCCAGCGGAGAAAAAACTTTACCTATTGATCCAGCTTAGTTGGCCTTCTAACTGAATTTATGAATGCACTTAGGTATATATGCACTTTTTGAGTTCAATTGAAATTCATATGCTAAAAGTGACGTAAATAGCATTCTCCAAATACGAAGGTGGAATTGGAGCAAAAAACTGTGAACGATTTCTAGTTTCGAAAATGGAATTTAAGTTTTAGATTTACACCGTAATAAAAATTTTCTGTTCGTCCAGTTTTCTCAAGTTGGGTTCATGTTATCACACAAGCGCCAGTCATAAATGTTAGAGAAATTCCAAGAGGTTAAAGGGCATCTATTTTTTTTGAAAATGGTAAGTTAAAATTTTTCAAGAAAGTCAGTGTTTTTTATGTTTACTTGCGTTCATTACTCTTTTCCAATCGTCGATTGGCAATGCGATTCAGTTCGACTCATCTCGAACTCATCTCGACTCATCTCGAAAGTATTTATTGCATCAATGGATTTGTTCGTTTCCAATAGCTTAAAGAATTCAATCATTTTTAGAATGTTTTATTACATTGAATTTTTTCCTAAATTTTTGGGTTTTTACTTAGAGTTATTTGAAATCGGAGAACAATTCATCTCATTTCGTTCAATATTCATCTCCAAATTCTATCAGAAAAGTAAGTATAAATTACATCTATGGAGTTGTTCGTTTCCAAAAGTTTTAAAAAAATGAACTTTTTTTCCATTGATTTTTTTCCTAATTTTTTGTTGGTTTTACTTAGAATAATGTGAAATCGGAGAACAACCCACCTCCATTCGCTCAAAGTTCATCACGAAATTTATTGAGAAAAGTAAGTATAAATTGCATCTACGGAGTTGTTCGTTTCCAAAAGTTTAAAAAAGTAATGAACTTTTTAATTTTCTTTCCATTGATTTTTTTCCTAATTTTTTGTTGGTTTTACTTAGAATAATGTGAAATCGGAGAACAACACCCACCTCATTTCGCTCAATTTTCATCTCGAAATTTAATGAGAAAAGTAAGTATAAATTGCATCTACGGAGTTGTTCGTTTCCAATAGTTTGAAAAAGTAATGAACTTTATTAGTTTATTCCATTGATTTTTTTCCTAATTTCTTGTTGGTTTTACTTAGAATAATGTGAAATCGGAGAACAATCTACCCCTCTTCGCTCAAAGTGCATCTCGAAATCCTATCGGAAAAGTCAGTATAAATTACATCTATGGAGTTGTACACGTTGACTTAGATAAAAAAAAATCTGTACACGTTGACTTAGATTTTCGCCCTCATCGAAAAATCATCAAAAATGAAAAAAGAGAAAAAAGAAACAGCTGAAACCATTGTATTTCGATGGAAGGCAAGAAACTATCAGGTTGTTCGTTTGTTCACTTTACCAAGTTGCATTGGAGTACGGCAACGCTATGTTAGTTTTCAAAATAGAAAGTTAACGAAAATAGTATTTTTTAAAAAGCCATGAAATTGAATCGTCAAGGACTTTTAACAAGATTTTTGACGCTCGATATAGCTGCCAAGGACGGAAGGCTGCGTGAAAAAAGTGGTCGATGGGATAACTTTTCTAAAATAAATTTGAAACAATCCGAAAAAGAACAATCAGCCAAACTTAAAAGAAAATAACTTTGAAAACTGCCACCATTTTGCCCTAACGCAAGGCAAAATTGGGTCTGTTTCATGAAAAAAGTTTAACCGGATATCAAAAAAGACTGCCCGAAAAATTAATTTTTCCATGTACTTCTCTTAGTCTCTCAAACTTTGAATAATTCTTCGGTATAATAAAAATTGTTAAATTTTGTTCAATAAATTTTGAGCTGAGGTACTGCAATTTTGACCCAACGTAGAAAATAGACGTTTTAAGAGATTAAAAGTCTTCACAAGCTGTCGCGCGATTCAAGACTTAAAAATGAATGTCATTATCCTACGCTCTTTGAGCGTGTAAATTTTCAGTACCTCAGTATAAAAACATTTGAAAGTTTATTTGAAACACCCTATTTAAAATCAAATAAGGTGGTAGCCTGTACGAGCCTAAAACGCACCTCAAGAAAAAATTACTAATCTCTTTAGCAAACTCTAAAAAGTAAAAACTATGTACAAAGACCGCTCTTTTTTATTCATTCCCTTAGCGGTTAAAAGGCCTTAATAGCATTAAAAACTATACCAGTTTTTTTTCGACACTGAGAAAACTGCTCAGTATTTTTGTTTCAAAAATGTAACTTTAGATTTTGAGTTAAACTAACCTGGCGAGAAGAATAAGACTCAAGAAATATAACATGTTGTTTTGTAAGAGTAAGCAAATGATTTTTTTTTTCAGTATAATTAAAAGGAATAAAACAAATCTTAGTCGTCAAGGCTGATGTTCGTGTAAATTTGAATCAACCTTTTCTAAAAAAATATCTAATTTTCTGGAGCTTGAAACATGACAAAAATTTATATTAAATGCAAATAAACATTTGTTTCGTTTCTTGACAAATTTGAGCTGTTTTTTAAAATTTCTATTTCAAAATTAATTCTTTATCTGCAATGTTTTCTGGATGAATTCTAAATATATGAAATTGAAACGTTGAAACTGACAACTTCAGATCTGAGTTTAAATCCAAGCTATAAATTTTTAATAGAATTGTTTCTGAGTCAAAATTAAAAGTTTTCAGTAAAATTTTTCTTAGCCTTGTTTCATTTAAATTGATTGAAAGTTAGATTAATTTTTGAACTAACACATTTTTTGCTTAATTAGACGTCACTGGTCGTCTTATTCGTCTTGGTTTAATCGGAATTTTGTAAAGTGTTTGGTCTTTTGGGTCTTTTGGGTCTTTCGGGTCTTTTTGGTCGGCAGGGGTTCGAATCCCTGAGGAGGGCGATTACAACCCCCCTAAATCCGCCCCTGATTACAAGGATTGATTATAGTTTGGAATTTATAGTTTGGGAACTATTTTTTTTGGCTTTCCCCGATTCTGCTCATTGTAAATTTCGCTGTTTTTTAGACTACGTTGGACCATTTAATGCTTCAAATCAGACACTTATACTTCATAATACAAATATTGAATTTCATTTTTTTATGTTATTAATGATAAAAAACAAAAGTGACGACAGGTGCGTACGATTATTCAAAACTGACTATGGTACGCTTTAGTATTTTAGGGTGCGAGTATACAATTTTGTAGTCAATGATTTTCTACTCGATAAACTGCTAATATGGTTCTGAACCTGACATATGTGTGTTTATTCAATTGATAAAGTCTGTCACGAGATTTTGACCCAAATTCTAGCTATAGTAGTTATCAATGCGGTTTATAACAAGGTTAGTTTGAACGTAAGAAAAGCACAACAGTACTGGCATGTAAGTTTAAAAAAGACTGCTCATCAGGGCAAAGCCCTGAATGTTCCGACTGCCCTTTAGTTGATCTCGAATCGTTTTTGGTAAATATTGACAACTAACTGAATTTTAAGTTGATAATATCATAATTTAAATGTTACAATTTGACTCGTATATGGAATAATATAAAACCAATTAGCTGTCTAAATTCAATTTCAAGCGATTTTGCAGTACGGGATAAATTGACGCATGTAAAGTATAAAACGAGCAATTTAGACAGATTCGTGGCAGATTTTTTTGTGGTGTGCACACCCGGCTGGGCCCATGCAGATGTAGAGATCAATCCCCCGAGTGACCAAATATTTGCAAAATCGATTTGAAAAAAAATACACCCCGAGCATATATATATACCTCATTTTCTACACAATTAGGAAAAATTGACGTTTTCTAAAATCAAATTTTGGTATCTTTATATTGTTGTTAAAGAACGCTTTTTTATATGAAAATCTGTCAGTTAAATTGTTGATGTTGGAAAATATGAAGAATATGACTTTGCGTTGTTGAAAGGAGACAGTTCTCACAGTGGCAAATAAGGAACTTGCATGAAAAAATAATAAATTTGAGATATATATCATTGAAACTACTAGGATGTACAAAAAATTGCGAGAAAACTCTACAATAAGCATTTATTTATACTTAAAAATTATATGACAAGCGTCTTTCCTTAAACCCAAAATTCATTATTTTTCAAGTTTTGCTGAAAGTTTTTGAGTTTTGTCGAAAACACAATAGCCAAGTCTTTTTAGCACAAGCAATCATATTGTTTGATGGGAATAAATCTCACAGATACCCGCCTTTGCGTAGTTATTGTCTGAGATAATATTTCTAATATTTCATACTTCACTCTGATCTATGAAATAAAACCTTAAACTTTTGTGTTTGGCTAGCAAGTTTCCAGTCAAAATTTTACTTTTAAAAAATTGTGGCATGATTTTTTTGACAAATTGAAGTTTTTTTACAAAACAAAAACATTAAACGTTTCGTGTTTGAGTTGCACAAAACTTTTTAGTGAATTTAGTCAATTTTGTTTGAAAAACTTCGCCTAGACTATGTTTTAGAGAAACTTTTTTTTCTACTTATAAAAAAAACTAACTTTAGCATGCAATTTTTTTTGAAAAAAAAAAATGTTTTTAGTAGCAAGAAAATGATGTTGCGGCTAAAATTAACAACAAAAATTTTTTTCCTAAATTACGTTTTTTTCACATTGCAGTAAAGTAAGAATTGCAAAGTAAAAATTGCCTATCTTACAGTTTTCATATATGGAAATTGTATGACCGGAATTTTTTTGCAATATAGTAGAAATTGCTTCTCATAAAGTTGTCATATATTTTTATAGTAAATGGCATGACCCTTGTCTTTTTGTTTCAACTTTCGAAGAATAGATGGAAAATTAGTGCGAGATGTGTCTTGTTTTCTCTTAAACCAGCCAATTTTTAACCAAGTTTTTTAATACCACCTGAATGGTATCGAGGCCCTAAGCCTAAATTAAAGGCATAAATGTTACATGTGGTTACTTCTTATGAAGTTATGGAGACTTCAAATCGCTAACTCGGACAATGAACGCAAGATGTATTTCCTGCTTAGCAACTCAATTAGCTTGACTCAGCCATTTTTGTAGCCAATCAATTAGCTCGTACTATTACAATAATAGCAGCTGAAAACATCCTATTGTATTTAACAAATCGCAAGGGTGAAAAATTTTGAAAAATAAGACAGAATTAGTATATATTTTTTTTGAAATTCTTATAGTTTTTAAAAGACAAAATTTGTGCAATAATTGATAGGAAATTTTCATATCATCTGAAAATTATTGACGTCCTGGGCTCAAATTTAGTTAGAAGATTTTACTTCTGATCTTTTTTTGTAAAGTATATTTTGTACTTTTTTCCCGATTTTTGAAAAAAAAAGTACAAAATATATAAGCTGAATGTTTTTTTTCTGAATATGAGATGAATGTTTTTTTTCTAATGATACCGATTTCAACTGTTTAATCAAGCTTTTTTCTTTTTCATATATAGATCCTCTAAGCTTAAAATCACAAATATATATTTCACATGTGACAATTTTTTATGAAGTGATGTGGGTTTGAATTTTTTGATTATTGAAATAAGTGATACTCCGGGAATTACACAAGAGATCTCAGGAAGTAATATCAAATGAACAATAATTGTTTTCACAGCTCATTAGCAAAAATTTTGCTAATTATAGCCAACATACTTCTGCTGTAAATTTTTTGACGACAATATTATTGTGGTTTTTGAGTAATCAGAGTATCTACAACATATAAAAGCAAAAACATGATTTTACACTGTGTGCTACAGTGCTGATTTAAATTATCCGGACACAGGGAAAACAACTTGAAAATAGGGCATGAAACTCGCAAAACCAATTGCACCCTATTACTTTTGCAAAATTTCTAAGCCATTTTTGTCTTCATCATTTTTTAACTGAGCAACTCAATTTGAGAAAACCGCGTTCTTATTTTCGATTTTGCGTTTTTTCCAAAAAATTTAAATCAGCACTATACAAAGCATGGAACAAGGAGTTTTTCTATGCTTTTGAATGCCAAATACAAATATTTTTTAACATATTAAGATTAACTGTTTTTTATCCTACTTCAGATAACCTATACTAACTTTGATAGTACGGCAGTTATTTTCTCATTTCCTATTAGCTTGGAAAACTCTAAAGCAGTTTTTCCATCATAATCATTAGCACAGTCGTCTAGATAACATTTCCTTGCTACTGCATTTTCAAGCAAAGCTTCGACTGTCTCTAGATTCCCAAACCAGATTGCGTAATACAAGCAATTGTGTTTGTATTTTAAATTAAATCTGGTGAATCCATTTTCAAGCAGCAATTTCACGCATGAAGTGCTGGAGTTATTTTTGCATATCATCGCCAATATTGTAAAAGCTTGACTGGTTTTTGAATTATGTGGACTTTTTTCGACTTCTGAAAAATATAATTCATTGATACGGTCTTCCCAGAGGTCAAATTTTTTCAGAAGATCGCCTACAAATTTAAACGTTGTGAGGTCTCCGCTGAACGCGCCGTGATATAGTAAGTTGGTGGATATTTCTAGCAAGATCTTAAGTGAATCTTCGGAAAGAAGGCCGAAAAGCATTTCAAGGACTTTCACACATCGTTTCCTCAGGAATTCATAGACAGATTTCACGACGTTGCAGTTTGCTATTAAATCGTTATAAGTCGCGCTTCGATTGGTTATGTTCATTTCAGCGTGGATCGAATTTGTCAACATCGGTTTGATAAGTTCACCAAAAAGCTCCGCAAACTTTCCTAGAAACTGCGTCGACATGTCAGCGTGAAGAATTGAAATTATTCGTGCTATCTCGGAATAATCGAGATTCTTAATGAACTTGTTGTTCATTCGTTTCAGTACTTGGATGTTTTGGGAAATCACGGCAGCTCTTGCAACCTCAGAGGAGATTCTTGTTCTTTCGGTTATCTGAGAAATATCAACCTCCGATTCTCCGTTTCTGGCCTCGATCAAAGTATCCTCAAACTCACAGCTGACAATAGACAGAACTGCCTTGAAAAAGTCAAGATGTTTGTCATTGACGTAAAAACGGAAATTGAAACGCGCGCGAGTGAATCCTTCGGCAAGTACTTTCAAAACTGCACACATATAATCTTCGTTTTGCAGAACTTCTGTTTCGGAGAGAAAGTGGATGACGAAAAACAAGACAGAAACTTCAGCGCCTCCGAAGCTGAAATCGAAGTTCGCGTCGGGTCCTAGCTGATCACGGTTCACTACAATCACTCTATCTCCATGCTGGTCGGCTAACGACTCGAATTCTTCATTTCGATCGGCCAAAATAATTATGAGGTAACTTGGGTCGGCAGATTTTAGTTCAAGGTCGTCCACTTTTTTATAGGGCAAAGGTTGCTCGAAAATGTCTTTCGACTGGTTGGTCAAAAAACACTGAGTAAGTCTCGCGCTCACGTGATCAAAGGGACGTCGGGCGTGAAAGAACTTCGATGAAAGAGCGCCAATATGAGCAGCGCTTCTGAAGAGTATGTTTAGTGTAACTAGATGGAATCCTTCTAGGCCGATGAACTTCCCTTGGCCTTGAATTTGATTGAGGTCAATCGGTGCCATATTGCTGATCCACACTTTGCCAAAGTGAGGGAAGAGCTCTTCAAATGTTGGCTGAAGTTCAACTAAAATGTGGAGTCTCAATAACTCATCAAACGTGGTTTTCAAAATCAAAAAACTTCAAATATCGTAAACTATTTGATTTACCAAACCCCCCTTTCCCCCGCAATCACATGAGCGCCACAATAATCTTTGAAAATTATTCCAGATTTTGCATTTATTACATAAAAACAACTTAATTTTTTTGACACTTGAATGAAAACATCAGCTTACTCATTTGCGGAGACTCGAATCTGACTTCATCAACTAGTAGTACACTTCTATGCAAATGTCTCCAAGTAACCGTCGACCATTTGTCTTCTCTGCTTGATTTTTCCAGATCAATCAGCTCAAATTTTTGAGCAAAGAAGTCACAATCAGATTTTTGAACGAACTCTTTTAATTGTCTTCTCAGCCAATATTTGGACTCTGGAACAGCAAAATAGACTTTGTCGATGTTGCTTTTCATCGCTTCCTGAAAAGCCACAATTTGCAAAAGCGTCGTTTTTCCCGTGCCTGGCTCCCCATAAATGTGAACGAATCTCAGGTCTCTCTCTAGTAATCTGTACTGCTGGATACTTGGAAGAATATCCAGTTTCATCCACTGTGTGAGGAGGTTTTCATCTAAGTTTCCAGCAGCCTTCTGGTACTTTTCTGGATTTATTCTCTGTGAAATTGACAAGAATGCGCTTTCAGACTGCTCTTGAAAATTCCCAATAATCATCATTGCGGAAATTTACCTCAAAACTTGAATGGTTTCATTTACACAGTCTTCACCGCTAGTTTTGGCCGTTTCCAAAAATGGTCCATACTCAGCGCTACCATAACTTGAGCTGGAATTTTCCTCCTCCGATGAAAATAGAGCATCGATAGAAAGCTCAGCATTACCAAGTGAAAGAAAGTTTTCTTTCTTCGAAATTCCATACAGCCGCAATTCTTCGCTTTTCAAAGACTTTTCTTTCAACAAAAAGCAAACTTGAGGTAGAAATTCATAGGAAATCTCTTCTTTCTTAGGCACAAAACCGGCTAAAAAGTTGTCAACTGCGACTTTATTTGTGTTGGTGATATAAATTACAAATTTAACATAACGTCTGATAAAATGGTATCCTTTTTGCAAAAATTCTTCGCTGATTTCAAGACCGGGTGTTCTAGATTTGTGAAAATGGATCCACAAACTCAAAACAATTAGTTGAAGTTTGGGAGCGGTTGTCAAAGTAATTTGTTTGAGTTTGTTGGCAATGGCACTTTTGGGTTCTTGGGGGGATGACGTTAATCCAAGTTCAAATGAAATAAATCCCTTGGCTGTGCACCACAACCAATCACATTCGAAAGAGTCATTCTTGTTCACCCTCGTGAAAATTTTCCCAATTGTTTTCTGATCAACTGTATATAGCAAAACTCCGTGCGAAAGCTGGTAACTACGCAAAAGCTTCATCCAAAAATCGCGCAGCTCTGCGAGAAATTTTCGGGTACCATCATCATTGCTCTGCAAAACACTACCTGGATTTTCCTTGTCCAGTAAGCTAATGGGCGCCACATCTAAACTGGGTAAGGTCTCCAACTTCTCGCCAAATTCTGGGAAATATAGGCCAAAAATGGATGTAATAACTTCGTCCACGTTTGCGGGTGAAAATGAAGTGCCGTTAACCGATGGAATTGAGGTCGGATTTACAAAGAACCGGAAAATTTTCGGACATGTCAAAATCATGCATGCAACAATTTGATCAAAATCGATTTTGATTTTGACAGGGTCTCGGCTGTCCGAAAATTTGTCTTCTTTTGAAAACAAAACCGTGAGACCGAATGGTTTGTTTTTACTCGGTTTGTAGGCAAATGAGAAACAGATTTGATTGTTGGCCCATTTCTTCAACCCATTAGTAACATGAACTCTTATTCTTTCAGCCGCTTCTTCGGCAGTTTTCTCCGATACTCCTGGTTTGCTGAACTCAACGAGGAGTCTAACTTCGACAAAACTATGAATTATTTTACTCAGATCGAAAAGTTTTTCTATCAACTCCAACTGGGATATCACTTTTTCGGCAATGGCTTGTTCCGAGTTAGGTGTTCCTGATTTCATTTTGTCTCTGATTTGAGCAGTAACAAAAAGTATTAGTTTGCAACTATGTACGTCAACATACACACAATTAATCGAGCTTTGTGGATTTTTTCAAAAGTTTCTTCTAAGTTGGCAAAACCAGAAGCGTAAGCTGCGTGATAGTCGTACAAAATGCAGCCTCCTCGAATAGATGTGTCTTTTTCAATGTAGTTTGTGATATCTTTTTTCAATTCCGGGCTAAATTTAGGCATTTTGGGCAATTTGAGTGGCGGGGAAACATTTTCAGTATTGAAAATTCCGGGATAGTGTTTGGAAACTGTTCCAACTGCGTCATCAATAGTTATCAGCTTGAGATGACCAATTGAAGAAGCCGCATTAGAAAAATCAGGATGCAAAGTCACGACTGGTCTCAATTCTCCGGCCATTTTGTGCCCTTTTTAGATCGGAGCCTAGTAGAAAAATGGACTAGAATTGCAACACTCGACTATACGCTATCGGCAGATCCGTTTGTTAAACTATTTGACAAAATCAGGAACGAAATAACGAATATTGGCAGTACAAGAGTCCAAGCAGATTAACATTAACAGAATAAATATACAATTATGTCGCCATAAATAGAATACAGGAATACTAATCATGCTTTCCATTCAGATGTTTGCTGTTAGCCTTCAGACTTATTCATAGATTTTACATTAAATCCAAAATGTTGCAACTGAAAGGTCAACTTTGATGTCGTCATTATGTTCCGAACATAATGTTCCAATTTTTGAAATCACGGTTGAAACCCATTAAGTAGTTTCAATTCAAATTCATTTTGGCAGAAATTTACATGAACCAATCGAAGAATAGACAAAATTCGCAGTCTCTCAATGTAGACTTCGCTAATTTACTGAATACTGAGACACGGTAAAATACGGACCGCCGAGATACAATAACTTGGAGCCATTGGCAAATCTTAAAGTTAATCAAAAAATGAAAAAAAAAGTTCGAGCAGTCCCTCGTATAGCGTGCGCAAAAGCTTTTCCAGTAAGTGGTTTTCCAAAAAAAATCCGGATAATTTGTCGACCATATTTTACTTGTACCATATTGATTTTCCGAGGTTTCCCCATAACACTTTAAAGACTCTATTTAGCCAAAATGTTTTGCGCCAAAACTCTCTGCGATGTCTTTGGGCCCTTTTTTGGAATGATTTTGACCAAACAATTGGGTCGCAGCTGTTACCGCATAAAACAAACACCAGATACCTGCATAATAAATGAAAATATATTGTTTCCAGGCTGATAAATCAATCATGATAGTTATAAAACAGCATTTCCTGAGAGACAGTCATGAGACCTTCTGATCCGTTTTCAGACTTCTCTGATTTCAAACTTCTCTGACAGACCTGCATCAAACACCACTGATACTGCACATGAAAGCATCATGATAGCAACATTGCACACATAGGATGTAGCAACATTGCACACATAGAACCATCAAGTCCTACTGGACAAGGGTTTACCTGAGAAACCAGACTGGAGTTAGACCCTCAGTGACACAAATGGTTTTGGAACGGTTTGAAGTTACTATATTTTAAGTTACAGCTTAGTGGCTGACCTTAAAAAAGTTTTACGTAGACTTTGGCGCCACGTATACTTATTTTCAATTGAAGCATGTGCGGAACAAAAAGTAAACTTTTTGGTCAAACCTGCCCAAAAAGTGCCTAAAACACCTTTTTTAGGCCGTAATTTTCAAAATTAGGGTGCGGCGCAAGAAAATTGGCCAAAACAAGGTCTTTTTAGTGAATTGAGAGAGCTCGGAAAATCATTGTGATCGAGACAATGATCGACAAAAACTTGAAAATCAGCCCCATCGAGAAAAACCTAGATCTGCATCTGCGCCCATTGTTTGATTTTTTCGAAGATCGTTTGTCTCTCAAATATATAGTTTACTTGAGGGAGAGTGAATTCTGATTTGTTTAAAATTTTTAAAATTAGTCATAAAATTAAAAAAATAAAATGGTCTTAAAAACTGAGATTATTTTATACTCCGCGACATAAATTCTGTGACAAAACAGTGCTTTTAAAACCATACACATATAAACATGAATTTTAGTACGGAGATAGACAAATATTATATCAAAGCTACGGATGGTTTTATTAGTCACTTGTTTCACCTCCTGAGGCTACAGAGCTCGAATCTTTTGTGCAGAGGTTTCATCAAATTGACTTGTTTTTTGTTTTATCCGACCAGCAGCTGGCTGGAATTTCCGTTTTGAGTTGTTGTTTCGTTGCTGTGGCCTTCTTCTCTACCATATCTTTCATTTACTTCCAAATATTTTCAATGCCAGACCCCTCTTCTCCCCTAGTTAGACCAAGTTAAGATCTTCATTAATTAGTTCAAGTTGTTGTTGTCGTTGCCTAGGTTCCCGTAGTTTGGCCCTCCTTTTGTCCGTCGTTTGTGGCTTCTTCCGTCTCGAGTTGAAAGAAAGCGGCTGCCTCGATTGGGTTTTTCAACAGTGCGTGGGGGTGAGTGTGGTCGGGTTTGCGCTGCACCTGAATAGGTGACCCGTTGTGTGGGTTTCTGAGTTGCACTGTAGGCATGCTTCTGAGGTTGTTTCGTCTAGTCTGTGCAGATAAATTTGTAGGAATGGGGAGTAACCGCTCCGCAACTGGGCAAGGATCCGTCTGGTAACGGGCCTCTCTTCGTGCACGTAGGAGGGATTTTGTCCGGCGGGTTTCGAAGTCCGCTGAACGGCCATTTGCTCCAACTGACAGCGTGTTGGTTCCACCATTGAAAGGCGGCCTTGACTGGAGCCATTAATTCAGGTTAAATTCTCTAAGCGCTGTATGTAGAATGCTCGATATTCTCACTGGATGAAAAACTGATTGAACCTGATTTTGTCACAAAACAATTGCTTTAAAATGAAACCATTGCTTTTTTAGTTGCGTATATGTGATTGGACAATGTAGTCAATTAATTTCCGTAGTTTTGTTGATGCTAGCAACAGAAAATGCCCCCATCTCAAAAACTAAATTAGTCAAGCATTCAGATTAAATTAATATTATAAAAAACTATGGCACTTGATCAACTATACCAACAAATGGCAACAACGCACTCCAAATTTCATTGCTTCCTTAAATTGGTGCTATCAAAAAAAACTAGGGTTCTTTGTTCACATCATCATCCAATGACTTCACCGCAGTTCACAAACCAAGTGTATTACTTTAAGGTTTGGTTTTGCTTCAAATTTAATTGGTTCCTTAAATTGGTGCCATCAAAAATATACGGCCTTTTGTTCACTTCATCAACCAATCACTTCACGGCAATTCTCCAATCAAGAGTATTACTTCAAGACTTTTGTTTCTGACAAAATTAATTTCAATCTGTTTACAATTCACTTTTCTTTCACCTCATCGTAACCTTCAATCTTCTTTTCCTCTAAAATTAGTGACACTCTTCCTTCCCGATACTACAAGGCCGATTTTATGTATGCATTATCCCAGCTTTGAACATTGTGATTAGCTTTTTGAACAATGAATCATTAAATGTATCACTTTTTTCTTTCGAAGGCAACCGGCACAATGAAAAAATAATTGGCACAATGAAGCAATTGCAGCAAAGATTACATTGGAGACACCCGTATTTTGGTAAGTAATAGCTATTGATTTATGATTTTGGCCCCATTTTGTTAAAATACATTGTACACTGACAACAGTCACAAAGAAATTACTGCAGATGCGTCAAAATTTAATCAAGATCTGAAAAACGCAAGAAAAAATCAACAAGATTGGAAAATTAAAAGTGCTTCAAAGTACCAAAAAAAACTATTTTTTCTAAGCAAATTACCTCATGGAATGACTATGAAAAAAGGTTAAAAAAGAGTTATGGAAGACAGTCCAGCCAGGGTAGCAGCAGATGAAAACGAAAAAGCTATGAGAGTTTAAAGGGATTAGTCCATTTTGTTTGCCAGAAGTTGGAACAATGTTTTATAATCAAGACATTGCTCCAATTGAGGTAAGTAGTGAGTGTCAGAAACATCACAGAAAAAGCAGATTGGAAGTAAAGTCGAAATGAAAGGAAACTGTTTGAAACTGTTTAGAATTGGTTGAAAGAAAAACTAAACTCTCTCAAAAAAAAATCCTTGGTTTCTGAAATGCGGAGATTTGGTTGGGTGATTTAGGGAACCAAAATTAGTCAGCTTGCGTGCATTCATACGCAGTTCATGAAAAGATCAGTACGTGAAATTCGTTGATAGAACAAATTGCCCGAGTCGAGATTTTTCACCTAATTTGAAGCAAGATTTGAGCGGTTTGAGCGGTTTTTTTAGACAATTACGCTCAAAATCTTGCTTCAAAATGAGCGGTTTGAGCGGTTTTTGAACGGTTTACCTAAAAAAACCGCTCGAAAACCGCGCAAGATTTATGCGGTTTTTGAGCGGTTTATCTAGAAATACCGCTCAAAAACCGTTCAAATCTTGCGCGGTTTTTGAGCGGTTTTTATAGATAAAGTTCTGCTTCGGAGCGATAGTCGCAACGGATCATCATGATCGCAAAAGTCTGGAAATGCCATTTTTTGGTCGCCAAAGCCTGGACATGCCTAATTTTGGTCTGGAAAGTCTGGAAATGCCAAAGATTTGTCGCGAAAGTATCGACATGAGTTTGGGACCTCGACCCGGGAAGACCGCTCAAAAACCGCTCAAAAACCGCTCAAAAACCGCTCAAATCTTGCTTGAAAAACCGTTCAAAAATCACCGCAAGAAATGAGCGGTTTTTGAGCGGTTTTTTCAGCAAGATTTGAGCGGTTTGAGCGGTTTTTCCAAAAAAAACCGCCCAAACCGCCCAAACCGCTCAAATCTTGCTGGAAAACCGCTCAAACCGCTCAAATCTTGAGCGGTTTTTGAGCGGGATCTCGATTCGGGTGGTTAATCTGCAGCGTGCGTTCAATTGGCGTGAAAAAATTCATTACATGCAAGCTTGCAAGTGAGCTGTAGAGTAGTTTGAAAACATGCAGGATTGACCACCTCACTCAAATTTTGCTAC